CAAGCATCGTTTGTTTACAAACTTCCGATGACACACGTACACAGACCACACGTCAGTGTAGTGAGTCACCACTACAAACAAATGCGTACACACGGACCTACGCGGCATAGGTCCGTAGGCTGCGCCGATAATGTCATTTCATTTTTAGTACCATCGAAATGATGGCGCTTTCGCGTCGGAGTTCGCCCGTCACTTCAGCATCCTCTTAAATTTGAATATTTAAATGTCAAGTTTGGATTTAAAAACTAAAAATTTTGGGATGTAATTTCATAAGAAAAAAGTAATTTCTCAAATTTGCATCTACCATGTTAGATTTAACATATTGATTCCAAAATTATGACGAGAAATCCGACATTCTAAAAATCTATAAACATATTATTTTGAAGAAAGTATTACACATGTAAAATTTTATTCCTCTTTAATGCAAATCTCCGTTATGCATGTTGGTTTCTGTTCAAGTTTGAGGGAGAGAGAGCGGAGAGAGAGAGAGAGAGAGAGAGAGAAAGAGAGAGAAGAGAGGAGGGAGAAAAAAGAAATTGTGAAGACTACATATGTATACAGCAGTGCAAATTATAATTTTCACAGGTGCCATCCTGTTTCTTTCGCGTAAAATTCTGATATATCGATATTCACATCATTCATGATGACAACAGATTACATCCGCGTACGATTTTACGGCAATTTCATGTTAATTATTGTGAATAAATACTAAACCATACAACGTTGTGTAAACTATTAACGCGCCGACTATCTAGCCAATTTCCGTGACTGGTAGACATCGCAAAACAGTGATTCATTAATTAAAACCCACATCGTGCATATATTATTAAAAGCTATATATTTTTAGAACTTACCGAATTTTGACGAAATTCCTGAGAGTAAGAATTCTTTTCAAGTTTTTTTTTGCAAGATACGCGAAAGTGAATTCGAAGGACGCATTTTTGTTAAAATCAACATAATCTTCGCGGTATTTGACATGACGCAAAGTATAAGCATCATCATTAGCATTCGTTGTCATTTGCATTGCATACATCTAGTAAAAAAAATCGAGATTTTTTGTATAAATCTGATGCACTTTATTTTAATCTAACATTATCTAATATTATCTAATATTTAATTTTAATTTCAATTTAATGTATTTATCAATACGTGCCAAATCAAAATTCAAGGTAAAGAATAAATTGAAGAATTAGTTCTAATACACCATTTACATATTCATCTATTTATATCTATTAAGTTTCAGTTAATTGTATAATATAATTGAAAAATATGTGCGTTTTCATCGGAACGCATTAGAAATTTATAATTATATAATAAATCTTTTTTAGCAAGCATATTCTCGAGAATGAAGAGTAACTTACGATCGGTACGCGAATCTCTCTGCTTCAATTGCCGAACGTGCTCTCGCTTGCAAGTCATGATCTATCCCGTAGACGTATTCTATAACAAAAGATGTACAAATCGTTACAAATCTTTAATTAATAATACTAGTCTGCAAAATTCAGCATTTCTTTTTGTTATCTGGAAGAGTCGTTGTGTCGAATCCCTATCCGATCTGTCTTGTACAAAGCCTCAAACAAAAATTTTATTCAAAAATTTCGATCAATTTTTAATAAAAAATCAGTCTGTCCAGATGTATTACGATTGCCGCTGCACCTTGTATTTTTTTCTACATATTTGGAACAAAAGAATTTGAAATAAAAGGTTCTTGGGAGCAATATATTGCTCCAAAATTAAAGTTGCTGCACCACAATATAGATTGCCAAGCAAAACGAAAAATACCACGTTTAGAATAATTACATTAGTAAACAATGATTACGGCAATTGAAATTATAAATGAGGAATTTCCTCTGTTCTGATTCATGACGTAATCTTACGACGTTACATTTCAAGCGTCTCGTAAGTCGATTTATGTGCCGACGTGAGAGCAGTCTCACTATTGTCCTCCGTTTCCTTTAAATATGCAATATCAACTAGCTTCCTTCATTACGTAATTAGCATTTCGGTAATTTTTCGACACTGCTAAATATACAGCAAAATCGATATGTCAATATCAAACTGATACGTTTTAGGAAATACGTGTATGTGTCACGAGTAATCTGATATTACTTTACGACGACATAAAAATCTATAAATATATGCATTATTTTACTTTATATGTACTTTGATTTAACTCATTTTGTTAGTTTTAATATAATTAATGTATTTTTTTTAGAATTATTCATATTAAGTATTCAATATAATACATAATATTTGCATGTGGTCAAGTACACTCACCGGAAATACTAAATTCGCTGACTGTCGACAATATCGTTGGCACTGCGATAACCAATGTACACAGCAGTATCGAGCTGCTTCTGAAATCAATATAAAAATTGTATTATTTATTTATTTCATTTAAATTTATGAAGTCTCATTATTAAAAAATGTAGATTTGTGCAAATTACTTTTCATCATATCTTGGGAATGAATTAATTTAATTTTTTATACTGAAAAGCATGCTTAAACGAAAGTGTTCTTATTTTTACGTAGCCTGCACAAACATCAATTGGAAAAAATTGGAATTACAGTGGCAGAAGGCGTAACGTAATTTACTAATTGTAAGATAATTATCATTGCTCATAACACTGCATGTGATGCAATGCTAAGCAAGCTCATAGCATAAAAAATGGTTCATTCTGAGTGCACTAGATTTCTATGTTTCTAAATACACAGTATGTCTTAAGAATAACAGAATTGACATTATATAAAATATTGTAAAATCAGGAAATGTATGTATTTAGTATGAGATTATATATATTATTAACGACGAGAATTTTTTTAAATATAATTTTTCGTACAATTGTTCAGAAAATTAAGATAGAAACATAAAAATAAAAAAGATATTTATCACAAAATTTTAAAATACATATATATTTAGTTATTTTTCGACATAATCATTATAAATCATAAAAATTCATAATATATGAATTTCAAATTTCAAATTTTAAATTCATAATATATGAATTTTTGTATTTCCATTTTTGTATTTCATAAAACTCTGCTGCTTGTATATGTATGTGTATTAAGAGTTCTTACTCGATTTTGTGATAAATATTTTTTCTAGTTTTTCTTGCGTTTGTATCTTTACTTTCTAGACAACTTTCGTAAAATAATATTTAATACAATAATTTTTTAACGATAAAAAAATCAATACAAAAGGAAAAGTAGAGCCAACATTAAAAAAAAGTCGTCCGATAAAAATATCTTTGAAAATGTGGCGTTCAACATTGTTGCGAAGGCTTCCAGATATATATATAGTCATATGTACTTTCTCTGTGAAAAGAAAAGAGAAAAAAAAAAGAAAGATCAGGAGCAAGTGAGTGAATTCGCCGCGTTCTCGTACGCGGGAATCCACTTGCTCGTTTCGACCGGTGTTTATTCCGGTCTTGATATACTCTCGATCTCATACACAAAACATTGACATTTATTTTTATATAATTCCAGATTGCTTCCATCAATCATATTTCATACGAATTAATATAAAGAATCTAATAATGAGTCAATAAAAAATGATATAAACAAAATAGAAAAATTTTAGAAATAAGTAACACTGTATTATTAATATAAAATTAATTTAAATTTGAAATAAATTTGTAATTGTTTTTAGAGAGAGAGATAAATATTGCTGATTAATTAGGTAATAAGTATTTTTAAAAATATTCTTGAATATTCTTCAAATTTAACACAAAGTTCAAAAAGTGTGTACCAAAATTATCAGATTTACAGAAAAGTTTTAATGTTTTATATATACATATATCAATAACTCGCTAATTAAATCTTTGATAAATCAATATCGAACTAAAAGGACTAATTTGCACAAAAAATATTTTTTTCTATTGATCGCGATTTGCACTAGAAATACTACGCGCGCGCGTGTGCGTGTTTACTTATTCGTGTGAAACAATACAAACACACGATCTATATGCATTTCGAACATATCTGAGGAAAAAAGATTACAGATTATGTACGATATGTTGAGAACCGCTGTTGTCTCGCCGGTTGTCCGCTTTCAACAATAATACACTTAAGTAAGTGGACGGACATGTGCCTTCGTCACTCAATAAACACCTGCGGGCGAATCGAAATCAATCGATGAACTAGGAGTTTCGAGTTTCCGAAGTGATAGATTAAGCTACGTACATCTCTGTTGCATATTATAGCGCGTTATCATTTTAATCTCTTAAATATTAACGCATATATGCGTTATTTCAAAGTATTTTTGTAAAAATGTGATGAAAAAATACTCATCTTTATATTCTATTATTTGTAAGTTTTTCAACTCGCTAAATTCGAATCTCTGATCACATAATTTTAAATTTATTGTGGCAGATTTAATATAGTAGAAGCAAATTGAAATCATATATACGCATACAATATACACACGTATAATGATTCATTTTTGATAATGCAATTTTGAAAGAGTCGAATTTTACATATAGAAATAAATAAAAATGTAAAATAAAAGTACTAAGTTCTATACTTTTTGTTTCTGTTTTTGAAAATCGAAATTTAAATATAAAAAACTAGTTTTCTTATATTTTTTGCCTAGTTTATATAAAATTTGTGTATATGTGTGATAAATAACACATACTTCAATCAAAATTATCTATGTATGTATACATAGTAATATATAGTATTCTAAATTTTCTTATTCTTAAAATCAATTTTTTAATTGAAACAAAGCCTTAGACAAAAAAATTTTATTCTACGTCTTCAATTGATTTTTTTATACAGTATTATCTGTCCGGTGATATTAATTTTTCATTAATAATAGATCAACCTATGCAGTGCGATATTATTGCTTTACGAGATAAACTACATGAGCATAAATAGCAGTTACTTTCCTCTTTATGCCGCAAGAGATTGCAATCATAAGGTGCAATAATGTGTGTGTACGCTCACACACAGTTATAATTCAGTGTCAGTAGGTCAACGGAAACTGGAGAAATCTTTCTCGTGAGGCCGATATGCACATATATATGTCCTCGGAATCTCGCGCCTCAGGCAACAGTGGCCATACCACCAAAAAATATTGCTTGAAGGTGCACCTCATGTGACCGGAACTCGAATTCCATCGAAAAGGATCGAAAATTTATTTGACAGATTCGTAAAAGTCGGTTGTTTTTTTACCATCTTTTTAATTAGCACCGTTTACTATAAAGTACCATAAAAAACAATTTAATTTCAAGTACATATTTTTTACTCATTTTTTGCTCATGGATCCTCTTCTTCTTTAGTTTTTTTTTCTTTTTGAAAACAACATAACAATTAATAAAAGTAACGTATAAGCAGTCTCAATCATAAATAATTATACGCTTTCCTATCAATAGATTGGATATATCAATAAATGTTTATCAAACATTTTTCAATTTATCAATCATAAAAAATCATTAAAACAATTTTTTTTATATTATGCAACTTAATTTTTCAATGGTGCTGTCACAAGACAAATATCAAGAAATTGTAAGAAATTTTGAAGCATCGCAGATCGTGAATTTCTATACTCAAAATATTTGTTAATAAATCCTATAGATATATCTAAAAAGTTTGTCAATCTAATTGCGTTACATTCTATAGATTTGTAGAAATCTCATACATAAAAATAATAATTAATGTCATTTATACATAACCAAAACTTTCCTCGGAATTAATTATGTTATACACTGTATAATAAGACGTTCAGCAAAGTTCAGAGTTTAAATTATTATTATTATTCAAATGAGAAAGAGAAAATAATGTATTAATAATAAAGAGAAAATTCTGAAAAATGTGCACAATTTAGGACATCAAGGCAATAAAAAACATCAAGGCTGCAAATTTACGAGTATGCTCGAATAAATATCCTAATAAATATCCTCATAGAGTACGTCGTTATAAATAAATATAAGTGTTAAATTCTTCGAGGCGATAAGTAGCGAATAATGATGATCTCAAGGAAGTGTACGCGGGTGAAAGTGCATATGGGGCATTCGCCTGGAGAACGTCTCGGAAGCACATTCGCTTATGAGAAAAAAAGCCACTGTTTACCGGTCACAGAATACTACGTTTTTGCGAGACCGCCGTCACGGATTCTTAAATGACCATTATGACAACTCACAATTATGACACTTTAATTATAATTTGTAAAAATTGATATAAAACAATTGCATATAAAACGAAAGTTACATTTTTTGTAAAAGAATTTGAAAAGCAAGATCGTCACGGAGTTTCGATGGATTTGGATCAAAAATTCAAATTGTTAATTGATAAAAAAATGTATAATTTGTTAATTTTTTTTGTCGAAAAAAATGATAGCATAAATATCGCATCTTTCGACACTTTGATAAAAATTTCATCACATTGACAAAAATTCGATCAATTTGAATAGAACGTGATCATTTTGTAAATTAAGTCTGCGCGCGCCAGAGAACATTCCTAAACGAATTTTTTTTATCTTATAACAATGCAGACTGCTGTACGTAATCCACTCGATAACATTGTCATCCTGCCTTTGTCTTCTTCAATTTATTGTGTTCGATTTAACAAGACAAAGAAAGCGATAAAAATCAGAAGCGCTATTGTCGGGGCGCATGAATTATTTATTAATTAATATATTATGTGAAAAACGTTTTGGCCACAAATGCGAGCTCTTTAGTTTGAAAAAAATATAAAAAGAAAGGAAAAGAGATTACATAAAAAAAGAATTAACTCAAATAATTAATGCAACAATGATTAGACTCGTTGATCGCACGAGCAACACCGATCGGTGCAACCTGTCAGAGCAAAGTAATGTGATATAACAATATTTGTACGTAACAAGGATTCAAGAATGCATCCTTTTGAATACGGAAGATTTTTATCCAAAATCCTAACACAGCGTCAATCAAAATCATGATTCTCAACATCTTGTGATTAATAACAATCAAATATGAATCGTTTATTTTAACATTGTCATGATACCTAATTCTTGCAGTCGATTTTACACACCACATTACACTGCGAAAACCTCAGCAGCGAATCCTTCCGCACTGTTTCAAGACGACTGACCCTGTTTTAGCTAGCGCAGGCGAAATAAAAAGCCGTATTTTTAACTGATTAGAAATTTTCCGAAATACTGAACGGAATAATGAAGAAAGAAGAAACACCATTGCAGTACTTTTCTAGAATGCGATTTCTAGGAAGCCACCCTGTCGAAGAGTCTTTAGGCATTCTTTAACGATGGAGAAAATCATATGTAGTAGGTACTCATTAACTAAAAGAACGCTCATGATTAGCTCAAAATTCTTTTGGTGAAATCTAAGATGTGAGAAGGTAAGAATGCACGATCTAACGTCTT